GAAAAAGTCCCCTCCTTCTGGCCTTAATTTTTTATTTATAAAATGAGGTATATTTCCAACATTGAAATTCTATGAATCTGTGACTCTAAGTCAAACCTAATAGAAGAAATCTACAAACTGACTATGAACTAAGGAAGTTGTCAGTCATGTGCCTACTACCTCCTTCATGTAGCCTACAAATATTTACTGACTACCTGCTCTGTTCTGTGTCAAGCACTATCCTGACTGCCAAATATACAGAGGCATATAAATATGAAAGTACCATCTAATAGTTAGTAAGCCAGTGAAAAATATGCATACAATATAAGTCATTGCAAGGTGATATGATTAATGACCAGGTTCTAGGGAGCCATAAAAAGTATTGTGGAAGCCCAAATGATAGAGCAAATAATTCATTTTGGAGAGATCAGAGGCATCACAGAAGTCCCATTGAACTGGGTCCTGAAGAACAACTAAAGTTCATCTGGTGGAAATGCCTGGTGGACCTTCCAGGATATGCAAAGGCAAAGAGATGTAAAAGAATATGGTCACATTCAAAGAAAGACTTCACAATGGTTGGAAAGTGACGGGGGAAAAAATCTGGTAGGACAGGCTTCTCACAGATTGGAAAGGATTTCAAATGCAATTCAAAGTAGTTTGGATTTTTATCCTCGGGGAAATAGCAAATTATTGAAGGAATTTAACCAAGGGAGTAACATGTTCTGAATTCCCTACGAAAAAATCTTTAGCGGCCTTAAGAAGGATGAGTCCTTCGGAAGGTTGTTATGTATGTTTATGCCCCTGTCATTTGTATTTATGTGTAATTAACTGCCCTTTTCTTATCTTGTCCTTGGTGCTCTGCTGGACGTGTGGTGCTGACTGGGCTAACCAGTTACTTCTACCTCCACATTCTTTCAAGTCTCTGTTTTCAGTCTCTACGACTGCTACTGATAAATACTGTTGAAAGAAGGTAAATGAAGAGACAGGGGAAGGAAAAGATGAAAGGATATGAATAATAACAAAAGAAATACCTGGGAGGAAGGAGAGAGATGCTGTACTAATAAAAGTAATGATGGCTAATGGGTATTGAGTACATATTATGTGCCATAATTTTTAATAATTTTCATTATTTATGCTCCACTCTACCTCATTAAATATCAACTCCACAATGAAGCTAATTTATCTCTGTTTTCAGATGAGCTAAACAAAGCTTAGAGTAACTTGTTTATAATGCTAGTAAATGCTAGAGAAGATTCAAACCTATCCTGTCTGACTTTCAATCCCACCCTTTAAACTTTTACACTCTATTCCCAGTGATATAATTTACTGAATGCTAACCATGTGCCAACAGCCATGCTAGCTACTTTACATAGGCTAGTTCTAAGACCCACAATAACTCAAAAAAGTAAATAACATTGTCCCCATTTTACAGTAGAGAAAACTGAGGCTCTAGGTCACAAAACCAGTAAAAGGGAGCACCAGAGATTTAACTCTAGACTGTTTGGCTGCACCTTTCCAACTACATTATGATGTGCATATTCCCATTCCCTACTCCTTCCTCCCTCCCAAGATCCTTCTCCATCTCTACATTGCCAGAATCCACCTTCCAGGCTCAGCTAATATCTCATCACCTCCAGAAGCCTTTTAGGAACGTATCAGCCCACTGTTGCATTCCTATTGCCCATGATTTGCATAACATTCATTTACCTTGGTCAAGACAAATTTGTATTTGTCAGTTCCCCGTTCTGTTTATGTTCTATGTCCCCAGTCAACCCATGTAAGTTCCCTGTGGCAGATTCCTCAGCAGTTTGTACCATCCAAATATACCTTACATGACTCTCAACAAAGCCTCTAGAGGAGGACAAGAATCATGTTATATAATTTGTATCCCCCAAGATAACTGGCAGAATCCTAAAAACATATTGGGGCTTAATAATGTATTGATTGGCTCCCATACTACTTTAATAATAGGAAGTTTTCAGTAATAAAAATAATAATAACACTTAACACTATATAGAGATGGGGGGAGAGAGAGAGAGAGAGATAGATTCAATCCTCATAACAACCAATGATGTAGTACTATTGTGATGCCCATTTCACAGAGGAAACTGAGAAACAAAAAAGTTAAATGACTTGTCCAAGATCACACAGCTAATAAGAGGCAGTCAAGATCCAAACCCATACAGTCTCACTCCACAGTCAGCATTCCCTTGACTACTTCATAATTCTACCTGCACTCAATAGATGTTGTTCTAAGATCAAACAATTCTCATGCCTTAAAAAATTAAAAACTCATTGGGTGTCTGGGTGGCTCAGTTGGCTGAATGTCCAACTTCAGCTTAAGTCATGAAATCACTGTTTGTGGGTTCAAGCTCTGCTTCGGGCTCTGTGCTGACAGCTGGAAGCCTGGAGCCTGCTTCGGATTCTGTGTCTCCCTCTCTCTCTGCCTCTCCCCTGCTCACACGCTGTTTCTCTCTCTCTCAAAAATAAACATTAAAAAAAACTAAAAACTCACACATTA